ACTGCTCTTGAGAGAACAGCTCTGAGAGAACTTGTAACTGACCCAAGGTCACCCAGCTGGCTGCACGTGGCGTGGGGAATCAAATGACGTTCTCCCAGATTAGAGTCCGTGCTCCTAACCACTACACCAGCCCCCCCCCGCCTTCAGGTAAAGTCTTTACCACCTTCCAGTTACAAACCAAGCAGCTCACAATAATGAAAGGTTACTATACCAGTGACAAAATTAGACGCGGCAGAGGGATTCAAGATTGTGCCAACCTGTTCAAATCTAGGTGGCAGTCTATTGTTTAATGAGAACGTGGGTGACGGGAGCTTAATTTCCCCCCTTACCCTGCCCAACTTCACTGTACTTAGTTGATTTTGCTGTTTTCTTCCAGCCCAGCAAAACAACAACAGAGAACTCAAATGTGGGCACAGGGTTTCGTTCCCCTCACCTGCACATTCTGTTTTCATTAGAAAACTGGAAATCCACACCTTTGCCTTTGGCGTCTGTGGGTGGATTCCCCCATCGCATCTAGTTGAATGCTAAAGCTAGTTAGAGCCACTGTCGTGTAATGGTTAGAGGGTCAAGATAGGATCTGGGAGCCCTAGGTTTGAATTCTTGCACTGCCATGGAAGCTTGCTGGGTGACCTTGGGTCAGTTACGCTCTCTCAGCCTAACCTACCTCACAGGGTTGGTGTTGTTGTGAGGATAAAATGGGAGAGAGGAGAGTGATGTAAAGAGCTTTGGGTCCCCATTAGGGGGAAAGGCAGGATATAAATGAAATAGTAAGTAAAAATATGGTAATAATTATTATTACCATATGGCATTGTGTGTAGAATAGCCAGGAGATCCTAAGATTGTCTGGCAGCCAAAGTAGTAGCTGTTTTAGTGTTTAAAAAACATGGGTTTTTTAAAGGCAAGAGATGTTTCAGAGGTGGTTTGCCATTTGCCTGCCTCCGCGGCACGGCCCTGGTATTCCTTGGAGGTCACCCTTCCAAATACTAGCAAAGGTTGACCCTGCTTAGCTTCCGAGATCTGACAAGATTGGGCTAGCCTGGCCTGTTCAGATCAGGGCAAAAAAATATATATGGTTATGGTGTATGTTTCTGGGCATCTCTTACATTATTTTTACTGTATCCCTGCAAATAGCTAAGATGACTTCCTTCTGACAGTTTTACATTTCACCGCAAACTGGGATTCAGCATCAAAATGGATTTTTTCAAAAAAATAAATCTGTCTTTATTTTCATTTTATAAAAATAGTACATTCCACTTGATACTTTTACATAGTGCATAGAGTCTCATACATTTGTCAGCTGTTCTATCCATTCATATACCATTATCCACCTTTTGGTATCTACCTTTTCATTCTTGTTCTGTAATCTCAGACTTAAATCATCCATTTGTGCTAAATCAAGTATTTTAAGTATTAAACCTTCTCTAGATGGTATTATATTAGATTTCCA